TCTTTTCAACAGGGAGCAGCATCTTAGCTCACGAACATGGCAATAGGCATTAAACAGGCCGGGAGGAGAGGGGATCCCAGGGTGCTGTTGGGATCACTGGTGCAGCCTCATTCACAGCCAGTGGAGCACTCCATCTGCTGGGCATTCCCTAGAGTGATGGGGTGAGTCAGGGCACACAGCTTGGCAGTCTAGCTTAGAGCTCAGCCTGTTAGCTGTCACACAACTAATTGCACAACAAGCCAGGACCTTCCTACCTTAGATAGGACACCTCTTGGGTTTGGGGAAAGACTGCTGACATTAGGTCTGAGGGTCCTTGGGGGCTCACCCAGTGCCCCGTGCCTAGACTCATCCTTCATTCCAGCTAGATTTTTCAATGGTTCATAACTGGGTTGGGAATGACCAGCTGGGGAGTTATAAGGCATGGGGAACCCCAAATCCTCCTCCCACAGAACTGTCTGTTCTTGGGACCCTGATCCTAAGGCATACTCCAACACGGGTCTAAGATTTTTCCAGATAAAACAGAAGCAGCTCCAAGACACGGTGTGGGACACAGCATTTCCCTGGGCCAGCCCTGGTATGCAGATGAGAACACCCCGAGTCCATGTCCAGATCAGGACAGTCTTAGCAAAGACAGACAACCGAATCACGCCCACTCCTCACGGACACGAGTGTCTCATCCAAACACACATTTGTCTCTGCCCTTTCCTGTGCCTGCCCCGGGCTCTGCCTTATAGAGTGATGGCTCCTGGCCATAAACCTGGATGATAAGGAGGGAGGTAGGCTGCTTCCCTACTTGGCAATGAGATTCCTTCAGGTTTGTGTTATTTGTGTCAAGTTTGGAGAGATCTGGTTCCTGGCTAGGTGTCAGATGGCTGAAACTTTTGAAGATGGATCTGAGGCCCCATCAGAATTCCAGCAGATAAGGAACCTGAGTGATTGCTCTCTGAAACCTGCCTGCCCTTCTGCAAGACGCCGCCGCCCGTGGGGGCTTATCATTCCGCTTCATTAGAGGGGCTTCACACAGTCAAGGTGAAAAATGAAGACTTCCCAGAAAGCCTCCCTTTACTATGTTTGAGCTGAGCTAGGATTGCAAACACTTCAACACTAAGGCAACCCCAGGATCCAGGGCAGCAGAGCAGCTGCAGCCTTCGCAGCCCCTGCAGGGAGTTCCTGCAGACCACATCATAAAACTCTAAAGAAGGACCTGTCCTGGTCATCTCACTCCCCAGATCTGTATCCTACCTTGTTTCATGACACATGGAGTATGGCAGTGGGGCAGACAGAAATATTTTCATGTCTCAAGGTCAGAAAAATCAAGCCTGGGTCTATGAAGTCATCGGCCTAAGTCCCATGTTAGGGTAATGCTATTATGTTACAAAATTCATGGTAGTTTTGTCTATACAATGTTTTTGTTATTTCATGTGTGTGGGTGTTTTGCCTGCATATGTGTCTGTGCACCATGTGTGCATTGACGGCAGAGACCAGAAGAGGAGGCTGGGACGCCCCTGGAATTGGAGTTACAGATGGTTGTGAGACACCACCAGTGTGGGTGCTAGGAATCAAACCTGCATCCTTTGGAAGAGCAGTCGCTGCTCTTAACTGCTGAACTATCTCCACACCTCCCGTAATAACAGTTCGTGTATGTGTGTGTGTGTGTGTGTGTGTGTGTTTGATCACAAGCAAACTGGACCCTGTAACTCACTAACCACAGCAATCCTCTCTCCAGATGCTGGACCCAGAACTGCCCAAGAACTAGCTCAAGAAATTCTCAAAACACCCCCACATTACTAGGTAGGAAACTGAGACTCTGTGGGTGACAAGATGTCACCTGAAGGTGGCCTCCAAGTCCCAGTCATAAGATTGGTCAGCAATGCCTTCTTTGTTTGTTTGTTTGTTTTTCAAGACAGGTTTTCTCTGTATAACAGTCTGACTGTCCTGGAACTCTCTCTGTAGACCAGGCTGGCCTCAAACTCACAGAGATTCGCCTACCTCTGCCTCCTGAGTGCTGAGATTAAAGGCATGCACCACCATCGTCCAGCAGTAAAGTCTTTTTTTGAGAGGTCCTAGGCACCAACCCAGCTCCAACCCCGGGCCTCTGAGTGCCGCTTCCCATCAAATACTCAGGGGCATCTAGAGGAGAATGCCTCTACAGCTCTTCACAGAGAGGGACACACTAGGTAGGGCACACTCTGTGCCAGTACCTCATATCAATACGCAGTGAGTCAGCACTGAGACCCGACCCCTCTGAGGATAAAACCATGGAGGTTTCCATGTGAGCCACACCTCGGATACAGTGCTTGTGAGCCACACCTCAGATACAACGCTCGCTTGTGTTTCATGAGTTGAGTCCTGGGTCTGAGACATTTGACTAAAGACAGGCAGAGTTCCTCCCCTCTGCAGACTCTGGTCCAAGGGATGGGAAGGGGCATCACCACTTGATTTTAGTCTGAGGAGAGTTGAGAGGCCTGCCGCACTCGGTGTTCGCAGATGAAGAGGCTATCGCTCCCTGCTTGGAAGTGATGGATGGACGTTCTGGATTGCCGAAGGGTTGGGCAGGCTGGCCTGCTCCTGGCGTGAAGGAGGATGTTCAGTGAGCAGGTGAAGGGAGACACATGCCAACAGCCCATCACTCAGGCCTGGGCGGCACTTCAGGAATTATCTAAGTGCGCTGTTTTGAACGCTCGTGTTATTTAAGTGTTCTTATCTGGACGCAAACATTACAGGCTAGAGCATCAAAAGCATCTCGCCACCCCCTCCCAGGGAGTGAGAACTCTGTGCCCTTCCTGGACATAGTTGGCTCTCCATATTTGAGGGCTGTGCATATTCGCCTAACTGCAGATTATTAGAAACATGGAGAAGACAACTGGCTATGCCTGTGTGGACATAATCATGAATGAAAACATGTTTGTTTTCATTCTCCAAACAATATTATATGACAGATGCTTACATGTCATTTTCACTGTGTTGGGTTTGATTAGGAATCTAGAGACAGTTTAGTATGTACTGGGAGGCATGTGCTAAATCCTACGATTGAGCATTCATTCACATCATATCCGTGGGGGCTCCTCAAGCTTCATTCCTAAAGCCACTGACCCCATTCGGGGGGCCTCCACACTATCCATTAATCACTTCCCAGAGGCTGTCACTTCTTAGTTTTGATATTTGGGGTACCAGCTTCCAACACAGAAATTTTGGGGAAACTCGTCACTCAAACCATTGCAGGTGTTTATTATGCTATGAATTTCTTGTTGATACCCTTTGTCTATGTTTCTGTTGAGTTGTCTTTTAGGAATAAAGTTTATTTATGAATTTATTTTAGTCAATATTTCATGTTCCTTCTGGTCTCAAACTCACATGATGACATGAGTGTACACACACACACACACAAAATATCATGCTCATGCATACACACGTATACACAATAAATACATAAATATTTGAAAAGTAATTTTATGTAACTCCATTTGTCAATCATGGTTATTTCCTATGCTATTTGAATCTTTCTCAGGAAGTTCTTACCTATATATTTTTTAAGTGTTTTCCCCTAGTAGTCGCAGCATTTCAGGTTTCATTTTAAGGTCTTTAATCTATTTTGAATTGATTTTTATGAGGAATGAGAGAGATGGATCTAGCTTTGTTTTTCTGCAGGTGAATATTCCTCCCATTTTGCCAACACCACTTGCTGAATACATTATCTTTTGTTCCAGCATGTATGTTTGACACCCTTGTCAAAACTGGGTAGCTGTAGCTATCTGGGCTTACAGGTTTACTCCTAGGTCTTCTAGGTTGTTCCATTATCCTATGAGTATGTTTGTGGCATTACTGTGCTGTCTTTGTCCCTCTGGCTCTGTAGTGTAGTTTGAAATCAGGTGTTACGATTCCTTCAGTTTGGCCAGTCTTGATCTTCTGTATCCCCAACGAATTTCAGTTTGTTTCTTTTTTTTTTTTTTTCTAGTTCTGTGAAGAATGTCAGTGGAATTCTCATGGGATTGCCTTAAGTCTGTAGATCACCTTTGGCAAGATAGCCTTGTCACAATATGATAATTAATTTGCTAACCCTGAAGCTTTCACAATATGGTAATTTACTATTCCTGAAACATGAGAAGTCTTTCTACATCTACTGTCACTGTCTTCAGTTTATTTTTAGAAACTTGGGTGTGTATTCCTTTGTGTACACACATTCATGGGTGTGCATGTATGTGCAGAGGCCAGAGGTTGACAACCGAGTTCTCCCTCAATTGCTTTCACACAGTGTCTCTCCCTAAACCTGACTTGGAGATTCAGATAGACTGGCTGGCCATCAAGCCCCAGGGACCTTGCTGTCCCCACCAATCCTGGCACTAGGATTGCAGGCACACATTACCATGCTTGTATTATATATATATATATATATATATATATAATATATATATATATGGGTTCTGGAGTATCAAACTCACGCTTGCTCGGAAAGCACTTTACCAGACAAACCATCTCTCTAGTCTCTTTGTCATCATCTTAACATTGCATTGTAGAGGTCTTTCATCTCTTGGTTAGGTTTACGTCTAGGTATTTATAATTTTTATTTCAGGAACTCATGTATGAACACGCTATTTTATTTATTTATTTTGGTTTTGTTTTTTGGTTTCTGGAGACGGTTTTGTTTTTGTTTTTTGAGTCTGTTATGGAACTCGCTCTGTAGACCAGGCTAGCCTTGAACTCACAGTGATCTGAGTGCTGGGATTAAAGGCATGTGCCGCCACCACCCAGTGAGACAGGGTTTCTTTGTGTATCCTTGACTGACCTGGAACTTGCTCTATAGACCAGGCTGGCCTCTGCCTCCTGATTAAAGGCATGAGCTACCAGTGCCCAGCTCCTGATTTTACATTTTCAAGCTGTGGCTGAATGATATAGTTTTATTTTAATTTCTCAGTAAGTTTATTATTTGTATGTAGAAAGGCAATTGATTTTTGTATGTTAATTTTGTTTCCTGAACCTTTACTGAAAGTGTTTTTTTTCAGATATGTATGTTTTCTGGAAGCAGAAAACTGACTCTGGTAAGTTATTCTCTGACCTCCCTACACAATAAATATGGGCATAAAAATAAAATAAAGTTTTCTGGTGTAGCCTGTAGGATCTTTTAAGTTCAGATTTGCACTTAAAGCCTTTGGTAACCCTCCCGTCTCTTTATCTTATTGCTAAGATTTTGACATCATGTTGGTAAGAGGCAGCCTTCTTGTTTTTATCTAATACTATTTTCTTGCCCGCCGATTGTCTTTAACAGTTCTTTTAGCCAAGCACACTGGTGATGAGTTCTTTCAGTCTTTGTTTATTTTATTTTTAATTATTTTATTTTTATTTTATGTGTTGTTTCGCCTGCCTGTGTGTCTGTGTGAGGATGTTGGATCCCTTGGAATGAAGTTACAGTCAGCTGTGAGCTGCCATGGGGGTGCTGGGAGTGAACCCGGGTCCTCTGGAAGAGCAGCCGATGCTCTTAACCGCTGAGCCACCTCTCCAGGCCCGTGTCTCTGTGTATTTTACAGGGTTTTATTTAGCCTGCACTTTTGAGGGTTATTTCCACCCAAGTCAGAGGTTGCTTGTGTTGTTGCTGTGGTGTCTTTGTGCATGATCCTCAGACCTCAAACACGATGCTAGGCTGGCTTCTCGCTTGCATTGTTTCTGGTGAGAAGTCTACTCCCATCCTCCTGTCTCTTCCTCTCAACATATTGTGTCATTTTGTGCTGTTAGGAGTTCATTTCCACCAGTACGGTTAAGCATTTTGATCCTGTGTGGTTTCATGTGCACTTCAGTTCAGCTTGTTTCTTGTACTTGGGAATTATTGGAGTCCATGAATCTATGGGTTTGTTTTTTGGCCGTTTTCCCAAATATTTTTCAGTCTTCTCCCTTCTGTAAAGGTAATTGCATACATATTTGATTGGTCAAAATCATTTCACATCTCACTAATACTCTGTCTTATGTGTTCTGTTGTTGTGTAAAGACAGATCTCACGTAGCCCCTGGCTGTTGTGGGTCAAGGGGAACCTTGAATTCCTAAGCCTCTTGCCTCCACCTCCCAAGGGCTGTGATTACAGGCAAGGACCATCACAGTTAGCCTTAATAAGCAATACTGACTTGAGGATCATTCCGAGGGCCTCATGCACCCTAGGCAGGTGTTCTGTCAACTCAGCTAAATTTCCAGGCCTTCTGCCCATTTTTTAAAAATTATCTTTTCTCTAGGTTTCTGATTTCAAGAGCTCTAAGTGTGTTTTCCTCTGGAGAGCTGAATTATAGTTAGTCCTCCCAGCTGGATCCGTCACTCATACCCTACTTTGTGTCTCGGGAGTCTGAGTCTGTTTTATAGCTTCCGTTGAGTGAGCCAACTTGAAAACATACCTCTGGTCTTCTTCAGGCTATCTGTCTCCTTATAAAGTGTCGAGACTGTTCAACTGATGCACCTCCAAATTCCTGCCCCACAGAAGTTGTCTACAAAATAATGCTGTAGTTTTCAGCTACTAGGTTTTGGGCATATTGGGTAGCTGTAGATAACCAATACGGACAGAATCTGGTATAGTAGACTTCCGGAATTTCAAACATCCCCTACGTCACACCGCGCCCTAAGTTACCCATTGTGAAGTTCAGGCACATGAGATGGAATGAGGCTAGTCACTAAACCACTTTTCTTCAGCCTAAGGGTCCTTTGGGGCTTGTATTTAATATGTCATATAGATGATGGATTTTTATTTTTTGCGTGGTTTTATTTTTTTGTTTGTTTGTTTTTGAAACAGGGTCCCTCTGTGTATTGTGACTGTCGTGGAACTCACTATGTAGTGCTGGCCTTGAACTAACAGAGATCTGCCTGCCTCTACCTCCCCAGTTCTAGGATTAAAGGCATGCACCATCATGCTTGAGTAGATGATGGATTTTATGTAAGCACTTTAATTTGCTGCTGTCTTTGAAATATACTCTCTCCCAAAAGCTCCTCAGCTTGTGCTATCCACTTCCGGGAGCTCTGTTCTCTGCAGGCAAAATCTGTGATCAGGGTTCTGGGTGCTCTGGCAGGTCTCCGTGGGAGCTGGGGGAGTTGGTGCCGGCCCTGTGGTGGAGACAGCAGCAGTCCTGGCTGTGGGCCCCCTGCTGCAGACAGACAGAACACAGTGTTCTTAGCTCATGAGTCATTTATACATGACTATGGAGACATGGAGCTAGAGATGAGCAAAGCCAGCAGCAGCTTCTAGGGATGAACTCAGCCCCGCAGGCTGAGCAAGCCCACTAACAGCCTATGGTCGTGAGTTCAGACCCAGGGAAAGGAGGAAGGGCCTTAGAGCTGGTGTGCTCTTTCTGTGTGCCCATAGGCTTTCAACCCATGGTGCCACTGTAGTGTAGGCTATGAGCATGGCCCCTTCCAGAGCAGAAGTGCCCAAGCCCTGGCCCCGCATTATTGTAAGAAAGTCAGTTGGACCCTGTTAATGTTTATTGTGGACACTCCCCCCAAGAAAAGCCCAGGACCTTTGTGGTTGTTGCATTGTTGAGAGGATAGAAGCAGATATTGATTGCCCCTATGGCCTGCGTGTGCAGCGCACAGGATTTCAAACGTAGTTCCACTCTCTGGAGCAGATCACAAGCCATAGTCTTGTCACTATGGCCCCATGGAGTTGATGTTATTCTTCTACAGGGTAGCAAATTTAGGTGAGGACTAAGCTCAGAGGAAAAGTACCAACCCTCGACTGCTCTAGACCAGCAGGTCTCAGGGTGTATTCCTGGGGCCACCGACATCAGAAAATTAGGCAGAAATAAAAATTCAGCTACTTTCTCGAGAACTGTGGAATTCACCACTCCAGGGTGGAGTCCGGTGCTCCTCTGAACAGACCGGCCCATGGTGAACAATTCATCCATCCACAGTTAAATCAACTGTAAGAAAAGCAAAGGTGAGGGCTCGGCACACGTCTGCATCTGTTTTCAATGGCTTCATTGACTGTGCCCTGTCCTCTGAGGCCACCATGTGGCAAACACTGTAGTGAATCTTTTCCCAGCTCCACACTCAGTGACATCGTGAAACCGGCCATGAAGGAAAGAGACCTGTGTTCTACAGAGCACAGCAAACATGTAAACTGGGTACTTTGTTTTCTTTATTGTCAAACAAGTCCGGACCTCTGTGTTCCAACAGGCTCTGGGATAGCTTGGGAGGCAAGCTCAGGTTTATATGGGAAGTCTGGCAGAAAGTAAGTACTTACAAGTTCTTTCTTTCACTACAGTGTTAACACGGCACACTCCCAATCAGGAGAGCAGGCTTCTTGGGTCCCATTTAACCCCAAAAGTAAAGCTTCACTCTTGACTTTTAGGAAGGTTGGGGGTCCAGTGTTGAGTGAAGCCACGGGTTGGTGCTAAGGTTTCTTGCAGTGATGGGGCCGCACAGGGATTCACTGGAGTACAAAGGGACTCCTGGATACCAGAGAACCCTTCTGGGTCTCCCACAGTGGCTTCTTGGAAGCCAGCTGAGCTGGTGGGGAGCTGCTGTCTCAAAGGTGGGGTGCAGGGTGGGCAGCTGGGAACTCACACCCCAGCCGACCCTGGCTAACACTTGGTCTCTCGAGCAAGGAGACAGCAATAGCAGCGCCGGCCCCACAGGGCTTCTAAGTCAATTTCAGTCATGTAGGTTTGAGAGCCAGGAACACTGCACCAGCTCCCACAACAGGCGCTATTTCTGCTGTTTCCTTCAGCCTCAGTGGAAAGTAATGTCAGTGAAGACGTTGTTACTCCCATTGCGTGGATGGCGGTTATTGAGGAAGAGGGAAAACACACAGCGAAGTACCCCATCAGAGTCGGTTACCGACACAGCAAGTCCCCGAGACTCGGTGATGGACCTTGCACACGCCCTCTAATGAGCACTTTCCCGCATCCCGGGGCTGCTGTCCTAATTTATTCCCCGTAGCTCCAGGTTCCCTAGCAAGAACACAACCAGTAATTCAGTTACAGCAATTACCAGCTGGATGCTGGCTTATTGCTATAATTTCCCTAGAGCAAGCATCTGTGGGTACAGACCCCATTCTACCTTGATGTTGCTTACATGAGAGCATTTCTGTATTTCCCCGAAGCACAGATGCCAACAGAAGTAAGGCTCCCATTTCCCTGCTATGGTCAGGATCTGCCAGAAAATGCCTGGCTCAGCTACAGGCTAATGCTTCACCTTTCTGCCCCCCCAAACCCACCAGCTTTCTTGTCTGTGCCACAGGACTATAGTCCCCCGTGGAGATGTTTCAGGACTCACTAAAATGTTACTGGCCCAGAAGGAGAATGTCTGCTAGCAGGCATAGTAGTGGAGATTGGAAGCAGTGAAGCAGACGCTGGGCTTCTCTCAACTGACCAAATGCAGACTCATGGATATCTATCCCCTACATGTTCTGGAGCCCAAACATCATAGAGAGATTTACTTAGCTAACACATAGTTCTCAGCACAGCGTGGTGGTACACACCTTGAATTGTGGCACTCGGAAGACAGAGGCAGACAGATTTCTGTAAATTCAAGGTCAGCCTGGTGCAAACAGTGAGTTCCAGATTAGCCAGGGTTACATAGTGAGACCATGTCTCAAAACAAAGCCCACACTGTGTGGCGGGACCTACGCTAAGGACATCCCAGGAACTAATTCATTTATGCTCAGAACAGCCCTACAAGGGACTAGCAGGGCTCCCGATGCACAAATACAGAAACTGAGGTACAGAGGAGTGACACAGTTTATCTGAGCGTAGAGAGCTGACTGCAAGGATGGAGTTTAAAATGGGTTTTCCATAGAGAAGGCAGAAGTGTATGTAGTCAAGCCACATGGAGTCTAAATTAAGCAAAGCTAGGCGTGTTTGACGTTGAGGGAACTCCTGGGAGAGTAAAGAGGGTTCTTGTTAGCCTGTGAGTGCGGGAAGCAGTGCCTCACCTCTTTGGGGAGGACCTACCAAGCAGGAGTCTCGCTTACCTGAGAGGTGATGAGGGTCAAAGTCCCTTTATATGACACATAGGCTGAGCTTGGGAAAGGGCATCCAAGGGGTCTTGGAGCCAACACACTGTGGATTCCAAGGGACAACTGTGCTTGTCTGTGACAGAAAGATGCGCTGTCTAGGCTGGTGACTTCGTGCTTGTTGATGTGCAGGTAAAGAAGTAAAGCCTCAGGCCGAAGGAAGATACAGCTCTAGACATGGAAGAACACATGCCTTGAATGTGAGCGGTCCTGGGTCCGATTCCCAGCACTGCGATAGAAATCTCTTAATAATTACTTGAGCTGGGCAAGGTAACACACACCTTTAATCCCAGCACTCCGGAGGCAAAGCTCTGAGTTTAAGGCCATCCTGGTCTACAGAATGAGTTCTAGGACAGCCAGAACTACACAGAGAAACCCTGTTTCAAAAATTAAAAAAAATGATTAATAATAATAATAATAATGATAAATCGAATACACACATAAAACCAAGAAGAGGATGAATGAATGAAAGCTCATCCTGCCTGATCATGGGAGATTGGATTCATACAGATGTGTGATGCTGTCTATCCCCGATGCCACCTCCAAGGCTCTTGAACACTACCCTTCCTCTCTCTTACTCTCCATATCTGGGGTCCTCCAGGAGACCACAGCGAGCCTTTAGAATAGGGAGCTGAGGAATGGAGGAGCGCCTAGCTCTGTCCTCCTGGCCACAATCTTACTTTGCCTTGTCTTGCACTGGGGACTCCCGACCCACCCCTTGTTGGAAGAGCCCCTCCCACCCTCCAACTGTGTGTGCAGATTTGGGGGGTACTCTTCTGTGCCTGGTCCCATGCCCCAGAAAGGAGGCACATACTCCTCCCTGGTACTCAGCCTGCCTTTCCAGAAGGGCTGCACCCTGTCCCAGTACCACCCTCCACCTCAAGGAGCCCTTTCCCAGCCTTCCCAGGTTTCTTATTTGTGTTTGTCTCTATTTCAGGGATTTATTTCTCTACAAGGGACGCAAGTGACCGAACTTCTTCCAGACCCTGAGGACCCAGGGAAGCACCTGTTTGAGATCACACCAGGTAGGCCCAGGGGTCTGTTGTGTGCCACTGGGGTCCTGGTGGCCCCAGGGAGTCATGACTGTGCTCCTGCCACCACAATCCTGTTTCTTGCAGGACTGACACTATTCGCAAGCTAAGGCAGAAATTTGGGCCAAAGCTGGGAAAACTGGGGGAAGAGATAAGACAATGTAATCTGTTGTTTGGATAAGAGGAAATGACCCTTTGATACAGTTCCTCATGCTGTGGTGAACACCCGGAGCATCAAATTATATTGTTGCTACTTTGTAACTGTGATTCTGCTACTGTTATGAATCATAGAGAAAATGTCTGATGTGCAGGGTATCTGGTATGTGACTCCCAAAGGGATCACAGCCCACAGGTTGAGAACTGCCGTCGTAGGGTGAAGATGCAGACATATACATGGAAATAAGATGACAGTTGGTTGTTAACCCATTCGGAAGACACCATAAGGCTTCTTGTGACTCCCAAGGCCGAATTCCAGTGCCACAAGAGGGAAACAACTCCCCACTACCCACTGTCCTGTGAGCAGTAACAGAACAGGCTTTTACAGTTTCAGATGCTCCGTGTGCTCCTTACTGACCTGATTACATGTCTGTCAGGTGACCGGCTGTCACAGCAGCACCGGTTTTTGCCAGTATTTTTATTTCCCTTGACCTCCACCAGAATCAGAACCCAGACAGTGTATTCTAGAGGAGGTCCCCCAAAGCACGAGGGAGGGTGCAGGGAAAGGAGCAGCCAGGCTGATGTGATGACAGCCAGCTGTCTCACGGGGACCATCTGAGGTGCTGCAGGGTGGGCCTCAAAGGGGCCTTTCCTGGGTAATGGGTGGATGGAGGCATCCCCACCAACTTCCGCCAGTCAACCATTGAGAGGTACATCCAGTGGGGTTAACGCTGCCATTTCCAGACTGTCTTATGCACGGACCAAAATGTTTGTGAACAGAGGTCTTTGAGGACAATTGTAGATACTTGAAAGAGACCACTAGCATGATCGGAAGAGTGATTGCAGGGGTAGGGGTGCCGGCAGGACACTTCTGGGAAGCACTGAGTTTTCAAGATACCATAGGGGGGAATCTGTGAGCCAGTAAATTTACAATCACAGGCAAAGTATAGTAGACACCCCCAAACACCATGAGGAAATAACCTCGCTTTTGCTCTCCAACAAGGGGTAAGATGAGCCCAGGCTGAGAAATCTGCAGGCCACTATCCTGGGGATTCTGGGAAAAAGAGGCAAAGTTAAAAATAAAAATATATACTTCTCAGCTGGGTGTTGTAGCACATGATATTTTTAGTTTTTCAAGACAGGGTTTCTCTGTGTAACAGCTCTGGTTGTCCTGAAACTCACCAGGCTGGCCTTGAACTCAGAGATCTACCTGCCTTTGCCTCTGGAGTGCTGGGATTAAAGGTGTGCACCATCACCACCCAATTTGGGCATGGACATTTATGTCAGCCATTGATCTGCCTATCACAATACTCAAAATACCTCTCTTAGGCAGAGGGCATATTTCTACCTGTTTTCCCCAAACAGGTCCTGGAGATTAGAAAGAACATCGGGGTATGCCATGGCACACAGCCAGCTAGTCGTAGAGCTAAAGCTTTGCCTTACTCTGTTTCCTGTTGCTGCAACTAAATTCCACAGACTGGGAGACGTATGAGGAACAAAAATGGGTTGTCAAGATGGCTCGGTGAATAGAGGCTCTGTGTGCAGGCCTGATGACGTGAGTCCCTTCTCGACATCTCGTAGGATGACAGGAAAGGAATGGCACACATACGAATGCCATGGCATGGTCATGCCTGAGCTCACACACACGCACACACACACACACACATACACACCCATGCCCACACTCTTGCACACGCGCACATAAACATTTTAACCTATAAAGATGTGTTCGGATCATGGTTCTGGGGACCAAGAGCTCAAAGCTCAAGGGGTCTTCTCACACACAGGTTTGGGGGCTTGGTCTCAGGAAGTACAAGGACTCTCTTTTCCCAGCACAGAAGCTATTGCCTGGCTGAACACTGCATTCCTGTGACTCTCAGAAATGCCCATATCTGCTGTACGGAGTTTGTCGCACAGCTCCTCCTGAGACCTCAGGTAGAGTCAGGGAGGTGCCGGGGACACTCTGGGAACGCAGACGTGGTGGCCAAGTGACTGCTCAGGCTCCAAGGAGTGCTCATCCATGTACCAGTGCTGGCAGGGGCCCTGGGGTGGCTTGCCTCCCCACCCTCTCTCCAGGGGCTCTGCAATCTTGGGATTTCCTACCAACCTGGTCCCAAGGGACTCAGCAAGTTCCGGCTACAGCCGGAAATGTTCTACTCTCCTTCTAGCCCATGGAAATGTGGCAGCCCAGAGATGCTAGCTGAGGTACAATAGCAGAAGGGAGCCTGGACCTCCTAGGTCAGCCTGCCCCAGACTGAGTTCTCTGTGACCACAGTTCCCAATAGAGGCCCAACCAGTAGTCTTGTTGTGACTAGAAAAGGAATAATAATGTCAGTCATAAGGGCAGGGCTCGGCATGACAGTAAGTACTGTCATCTCAGCTCTGACATAGCTGAGGCAGGAGGATTACAACTTGAGGCCAGCATGGACAAGGAGGGAAGGAGTAAAAGAAGGGGGGAGGAGGATTGAGTAACTCCACCTTAAACCACAGCAGTCGCCCAGAGAAGCTCAAAGAGCCTGTTCATTCAAAACTCAGGAGCCCCTGCTATGTCCCTGGTCTTGAGCTGCCTCCAGGGCCCCTAGGGAGAACAGGGCACAGTCTCTGCCCTTAAAGAATCAAAGGACATTGCCATCCTGAGCTCAAAACAAGGTAAACAGCTTACTTACTAGGTTGAGACCAATTACCTGGGGACAGAAACAAGAAGTGTGGCTTCGAGGGCCCATGCTGGTGTCTCCAGCATTAAAGTGGATGAACGGAAGGCTGGGGAGGAGAGGGTGGTCTGTACGGGGAGGTCTTCCTGCCATTCTGAGCCTGCCTGAGTGACAGCATAGACAGCTGAAAAGAACAGAAAGACACCTCATAGTGAAGCCTGGGTCCGGTGCCCATGGACTCAGTGGCAGGACAAGAGAAGGAAGGACGGACTCGTAGACTCTGTTCTGGCAGGAACAAGGCAGGATCCGGGGCCAGTCCCTCCTTCTCCAAGGGGTACCCTGAAAAGAAGGAAAACTTGACAGTCCTTGGAAATCTCATCATTCTTAACATGATCATATGTTGCATCATCTACTTAAGTTTAACTCATAGATCCTGTTGTGGCCTTCAACCCCATAGAAAGTGACAATTGTGTAGCAAAATCTAATGAGGAAAAACAATGCTGTCAGTGCCATCTAGTGGAGGCAGCTGCCGATGCTAAAATCACTGTGCTGCAGGCCGTCTCCTAGCAACCCTTTCATCTGGTGACAAAGAGCCCAGGAACCAGAGATCCAGCCACTGAGCAAAACGTAGGAGGACAGTGTCACTGGGGGCATGGGTGTCAGTCAGCAGGGCTCCTCGTGTCTGGCTATGGTCCGTGGCTCCATGCCTAGACCTGGTCAGTATACAGAACATTCGAGAGAGTTGAAAGGTGTGGTTCCCAGCACTTCGAGTCTTGCGTGGATTGCCTATTATGTAGCTGTTGTGTGTTCGGGTGGGGGCGGGTCATTATGGGGTGTTCAACAATAAACACTTCTGACTGGCAGGCAGTTGGTCTCCAGGCCATATGGTTTTATCTGAGCATCAGAGTTGTCTCCAAGCTAGGAACCACGCCTGGGAGAGGCACTGGCCTAATCCTAGAAGTAGCTATATTATTTCTCCCCGGCTGGCTTGCCAGAAGGAAGTCACACGGCTTCACATCTGCACAGGGGATTCTGCGAAGGGTAGTTCACCTGCCCTGGGAACCAAGAACACGCTGGTTTCATGGGACGTGGTAGACCTGCCTGCCATACTGCTTGAAGAGCTGTTTATCTGAGAGTCACAGAGACACATTCTCACTCCCACAGCACCATAATATGGAGTGTGGTAACAGGGCCAGTGAAATCCAAGCCTGACAGCTTGACTTGATCCAAGATGAACTCTCTGCATGATGGAGAAAAGAACTAACTTCTGAAAGTTGGCCTTGGACCTCTGTCTGCTTGAATGCTGTAGATTGTGAGCATGTGCGCTCTCACATACACAAATATAGATGTTTTTAACATACAGAACATGACAAGGGCAGTTCCCTCCCGTACACCCATCTATCTCTTTATGCCAATGTGATCAGTGAGTGGATAATGGAATTATTTCAAGCAAGTATTGAAACCCACAGGGGGTCAAGCTCATTGCCAGAGTGGAAACCAGGCCCCTGTGGTGACTCTCAAACCTCAGCAGGGGACTTCAGATTCTGGCCACTGGGCTGGCAGTGAGCCATGGTGGGGAGCTGGGCCCCAGTGTAGTGACCGAGAGACTTAGACTCTTCAAGAAAGGAGTGGGTAAGGACCAAATGGTCGTGAGTGGGAGGAGGCCGTGGTAACGAGGTAATTAAAGCTGTGGCCCGTGCCTTACTGGAGTATTTACTAAAAGCAGAGGAAGAGGAAGGTGCGTCCGTCTAGTGATGCTGATGCTGGCTTGTTCTATGGCCACCTTGCCCTTTTCCTTTACCGCACTAGAAGCAGAACGCTTCCAAGGGCCCCTTGCCTCAGAGGGTGCTGACACCCCAGCTGCACCCTTCTCTCAATAAAATCTGCAGTGGAGAAGGAAAGAGACAATGCTCAGCCATCTCCTAGCAGTGCCCCGGGAAGATGACATGTCCCAAGATGACAGACCTCGCAATGCCACAAAGGAAGCTAACTCACTGCAGGGCGGGCACCAAGGTCCTGACCCAGACAGATGCACCAAGGTCAAGCAGGTAAGGCGAGTGACAGCTCTAATTGATGACACGTGAAAATATCAGATAGCCACCAGGGTCCAAAAACCCTCGTCCTATTCTGGGCTCTACCCGGAAGCTGTACCACAGAAAAGAGGGCTTTCACCTCTTCCCAGTACTG